AGGAGGGTCTCTTTGGTTTCATAGAGGGGAGAGAAGAAAAGTTGGGTGAAATCCTAAGCATACCCATCACATAAAATCACTCACTTCCATCACTTTCATTCTTCTTGTACCAAATCCCCAAACCTCCCTTTGTTTCAATCTCTTGGTGGCGCTGGGTTTCTTTCTAGCCATTGTCTCCAACTTCCAGCGACGACATAGCTAGACCTGGCAGGAAGAACACAAACTCTAGCGACCCATCCTGGTGTAGCGGCAACCAGCACTTCTGCGACCTCCATTCCAGTGATTGAGGTAGCTTAAGTGAGTAAAGGAGGTTTTTTATTTTTATTTTTTTGTTAATAAACACAAATGATTCTTGAAAATGTTTGTTTGTTTTTTCTTTTACCAGTAAACCAAACCAAAATTTTTATAAAAGGTTTTGAAACAAAATCGAATAAGAGTTTATTTTAACTAAGTTAGAAAAAAGTTTTCTTTTAAAGTAAAGTTTTTAGGAAAGTAAATAAGAGATTTTAAGAAAAAACAAATTTTGCTTTTAAAAATACAAAGTACTATTTGCTTTTTAAAATGAAATAATTATTAAATAAGGTTTTGAAAAAATTGAATAGGAGTTTATTTTAAATAAGTTTGGTTATATGATTTTTTTTATATAAATAAAATAGTCTTAAACGAATTTCAAATCCCTAAATTTTTTTCTTACTTTTCGTTAATATATATATATATATATAATACAAATTTCGAAGATAACTTTCTTATTTAAAAAGACTTTTAATAACATATTTTAGTGTATGGCATAGTGGCAAAAGCATTAGGTGTTGACATCCATGTTACGTTGAAGTTCTAATCCTTGTGGGCTGCAAATTAAATTTTATTTCATTTTTTTAATCACTTTTTTAAATAATTATTTCGGAAGCTCCAATGACGGAAATTGAGACTTTCCAATATTCTTGAGGTGATAATTTGTTTTTCTAATGGTCTTTGCGCCATTCATGCTTGTTGGTTCATATTTTATCGCAAAATATGAACCAATAAATTTGGGACATTTAAAATCAAACACCAAAAGTAATTTTTTCCTTTTGGACCAAATATAATAGGATAATTTTCGACAAAATATGGTACCGTTTTTGAACGAGTGTCGTAGCGCGCTAACACCTTCCCTACGCTCAACCGACTCCCGAACCAAAATTCTGTTTTTGTAGACCAAGTTTTTTTTAAATAGGTCACCAATCACACCTCGTAGATGATTGGTGGCGACTCCAAACCCTAATCTCGAAAGAGACCCGTCAAGGGATGACGTCGGCCGTTCCGTGTCGCGATGACGTTGCGACACCATGAAATGGAAATACAAAGGAAAAAGTTGTTTACCCTTGATGAACTTTTCTTCAATGAAAACACCAACGAATATCACCAAATGGTCTTTCGTGCTCTCATTTAGGTATCGTGTGCTTGTGGGAGTGTCGATTTGGAATGGAAAGGAGAATTGAGAGAGTACTTGAGACATGCGAGTGAGGGTATCCTATACAATGAGTTTGTATAAGACCGGACCACAAAATAAGCAATCTTTAAATGTAACACCGTTAACTAATAGATTGCTGTTTCTTATGATGACCAGACAACTCATTCTCAATCTTGAGTGAGTTATGGATCCCTACCCGTGAGGGCTCGTCCTTTGATCTGTATGGGTGAGAGTGGCCCAAGTTGCCGACTCAATATTCCTATCATTTTGGGGACGAGACCGAGTGGGGAGCTGTGAACATAACTTCACAAGATGGAATTCACTCCTCCCCGACTTTAGGGGAGTAGATGAGTGTTCCCTTAAATGCTGACTCTGGGACTTGAACAAGGGGCCCCACCCTCTCATTGGCCCGAGAGGGACTTCCGGTTATTGGTCGGACCATAACCAGGTTGTTCATTAGAGGAGCAGTGGTATTTAAGGAGTAAAATGTAACTCAGGGGTAAAACGTTAATTTGACCCAACTTGAGTTACGAGCACCCGTGAACAATTGACTCGTCATTAATGGTCGTATATCCATGGACACGAAAACATTCTGTAGTGAGAAAAGTGCAACTGCGGGTCTTTAGTGGAGTGACCCGTGGTTAACGAATGTTGATTAACTCGGTCAATGAGTTTGACCGATTAATCTCGTATCGTTGGAGCTTCAGATCTGTAGGTCCATTAGGTCCCCTTGCTAGCTCATAACGGGTAAAACAAGGATCAAGTTTTTGAAAGAATTTGAACTGTTCAAATTTCTTAAGGGATTATATGTATACTAATACATTATAATATATAGTTGATTCTAAATTAAAACTATATATTATGAGAGAAATTATTTGAATGAGATTCAAATAAAATTAATATGAATAAGATTCATATTAAGACTATAGGTTAAAAATAATGTGCATAAGATGTACATTAGAACTATAGGTTATATGAGAGAAATGCAATAGAATATGATTCTATTTATGTGATAAATAATTAAGGGTTAATTATTTATTTGATATATATATACATATTAATTAATTATTAATTAGATTAATAATTAATTAACATTTATTAATTAATATGATTAATTAATTAATTAATTAATTATATATATTATATATATATTAATATATATTTTATATATATTAATAATATTATTAATATTAACACTCCCCTGCTTAATTGCAGGGGAGTGGGGGCAGTTATGACGTCCCCACATCATATCAGTTTTTTTTTGCAGAAGTGTTCTCCAACACGAAAAAGGCCCCAACGAAGAACAGTGTGTTTTTCTCAATCAAGCTCTCTCCCTCATCTCTCCCTCACATTGCAAACGAAACGCTCCCACAAGCGTGTTCTCGAAACCCAAGAGGATAGCAAGGAAGACTCGGTGGTGCTGTTTGGGTGGAAACCGTTGAAGAAAAGTTCTTCAAAAGTAATGATTTTCCTCTGTATTTTGATCTTGCAGATTTTAATTTTGGTTCCCAAATTTCACGAACAACGGTCCGCTTCCACTCCGAGATTCACATCCCTTCAGGGAGCTGGGAACATAACTTCACAAGATGGAATTCACTCATCTCCGATTTTAGGGGAGTAGATGAGTGTTCCTTTAAATGCTGACTCCGGGACTTGATTAAGGGGCCCCACCCTCTCATTGGCCCGAGAGGGACTTCTGGTTATTGGTCGGACCATAACCAGGTTGTTCATTAGAGGAGCAGTGGTATTTAAGGAGTAAGATGTAACTCAAGGGTAAAACGGTAATTTGACCCAACTTGAGTTACGAGCACTCGTGAAGGATTGACTCATCATTAATGGTCGTATATCCATGGACACAAAAACATTCTGCAGTGAGAAGAGTGCAACTGCGGGTCTTTAGTGGAGTGACCTGTAGTTAACGAATGTTGATTAACTCGGTCAATGAGTTTGACCGATTAATCTCGTATCGTTGGAGCTTCAGATCTGTAGGTCCATTAGATCCCCTTGCTAGCTCATAACGGGTAAAACAATGATCAAATTTTTGGAAGAATTTGAACTATTCAAATTTCTTAAGGGATTATATGTATATTGATACATTATAATATATAGTTTATTCTAAATTAAAACTATATATTATGTGAGAAATTATTTGAATGGGATTCAAATAAAATAAATATGAATAAGATTCATATTAAGACTAGGTTAAAAATAATGTGCATAAGATGTACATTAGAACTATAAGTTATACGAGAGAAATGCAATAGAATATGATTCTATTTATGTGATAAATAATTAAATGTTAATTATTTATTTGATATATATATACATATTAATTAATTATTAATTAGATTAGTAATTAATAAATATTTATTTATTAATTAATTATTATTATATATATATATATATTAATTATTATATATATATATATTAATTATTATATATTTATATTAATATTAACACTCCCCTGCTTAATTGGAGGGGAGTGGGGGCAGTTATGACGTGGGGAGTTATCCCACGTCATATCAGTTTTTTTGCAGAAGGGTTCAGCAACGGAAAAAGGCCCCAACGAAGAACTTCCTGGAATTCTCCCAATCAAGCTCTCTCCCTCCAACTCTCCCTCACATTGCAAACAAAACACTCCCACAAGTGTGTTCTCGAAACCCAAGAGGATAGCAAGGAAGACTCGGTGGTGCTGTTCGGGTGGAAACCGTTGAAGAAAAGTTCTTCAAAGGTAGTATTTTTCCCCTGTGTTTTTCCTTCTTTGCAAATTTATTTTGTTTCTCAAATGTCACGAACAACGGTCCGCTTTCGCTTTGGGATTCACATCCCTTCAGCTTTTTCCTCTAATGTTTTTTTTCTCTCAAAACTAAGGTAAATAGTAGAGAGGTTGTATTTTATAAAGAATCTTGATATTTACAAACCCAAACCACAACTTTAGCATTCTTTTTTATCCCTAAAACTAAATTGTACGTAATTTGAATCATTTCACTTCATCGAATTCATTTTGAAGCAAAAGTCCCTGAGGATTTGACCTTTGAATTACTTCGTGGTATACTTGTGACCGTGTACGTTTGCACGTGTCTCTTATCTTTTTAGGTAGTGAATATCCCGAACAATAGCTCAACCATAAACTACCTCGGCCATGAAATACCTAGTCCTTGATTCATAGCTCGACCACGGAGTAACTCGACCAAAGGGATATAGCTCGGCCAACAAGAATGAGCTACATCACAAAAACATAATCGTCTTTCCGACAGCAAGCCGTGATTTTCGCGTCGGTCATAACCACTCTTCAACCACGGTCAAAAGTTCAACACCTAGGAATAGAGTCGCCCACCTCAATTTTCAGGTATGTGAAACTATTCTTTCGAGAGCATTAGAGCTTTTTACTTTCTCTATGTAGGTTCCTTCATATGTATGGCGGTTAATACTGGATATCGATTTGTCATAAGATTTTATCAATAGTTTATATAATATCTGTAGAATTGGGTAACCAAAATCCAATTAACAATAAAGGGAGGTTGAAACTTTAGAGAATTAGTTTGTTTTGATTAAGTTTGTTTTTAAATATTTTGAATTAGATTTAACTATCCTTGATTACAATGACGAGTGTTATATAAAATTATAAATATTCTTATATTTATTTATAATTTGGCTGATTAGATATAATCGAATTATGTTGAGCCTTTCATTTATACGTTCACCTCGACCAATCGCCAATGGAGTACATATCAAGGACAAAATGTGATGGCGTAATCGGCTCCACCCGAGCACGTAAAAGTGCTAGTCTTATCATCGTACGCATAACTATAAGCTTGAGGACACTGATTCTTGAATATCATCGAATATTTCGTCGGTGGACAAGTTTGCGGTTGATTATGGTCGCCACTGCAGCAGAATTCTGGTGTGTTGAAAGCCAAACAAGCACTTTTACACGCAATAACTGCACCATCTTGCCCTTTGACAGATAGTTCTGGCGGACAAACGGTATTCACATTTCCAGCACAAGTTACTGCTGCACACCCGCCTGACCCTCCAATTGGGACCACCGAGACGGGCAAGTTGAAGCCGTCGACAAGGCTAATGTCGAAGAAATCTTGGCCACCGTTTTGGGCTATGGTGAATTCAACGAGGCTAGCCGGTGGAATTGCGCCTGCACGGCACGTGACTTGGCCGGAGGCACAGTCAGCAGTTCCGCAAGAGAATTTTCCACTCGCGTCCGTTGAGCACTGGGTTCGAGCCCAGAATCGGCCGGACCATGGCGGAGAAACGGTCGCTGTTGTGGCCGAACCGGATGTTAATTCAAACCCGGTTGTTGAAAGTGGGTTGCCAGAACCAGTAAGGGTACCGGGCCAAATTGGGAAAGGACAATTGTTTTTAACGGAGAAGTTGACCGAGTAAACCCCTGCATATATAACATTTTTCAATTAATAGACTATATTTACCTTCACAATTCAAAAATAACTCCTAGGATTGATAATCTAGTGACTAATTTTGGAAAAGAAAAAGAAAAACAAGTCGCTGAATCTACATCTTATCAATTGGAATACTGGAACAAATATACTTTTTTGTTCATAATGCATTATCAATTAAAACAATCAGGTTTTCAGTGTACCATTCTAAAAAAATATAAGATTCATAGTTTGGTTGAGTGGCTTTGAATACTTTTAAAATACAATAAATAAAACGGAGGTTTAACCTAAATAATGTTTTTATTTGATCGTCAAAAAAAATGTACCTGAAAAGAAAAGGATTACGAATGAAAGTCTAAACAAATGTACTTGAGATACAGCCATGGATGTGAACTTTTTCTTCTTGTTTATGAATAGAATATTTTTGATGAGGACAAGAGAGAAAGACTGTTTATATAGCCATGTCTTGAATTACAAAAGCTATAAAAATTAATGGCCTTTTACTAAAAAAAGAAAAGAAAAAAAAACTGTAAATTTTGTAATAAATAGATCAAGTCCAGGTTGATCGTCCATTGTCTGTCTTCATCACTAACAGTAAATGCTCAAAAATAGGCTATAACTTCTCTGTCTTATCCTTGGTTCATCCAATTCTTTTCCTAGAAAAAAAAATTTAAGTTATATCGTGTAATTGGCTCGGTTCAATTTATTTTAATTTTAAATTTGATCGATTCAAACAACAAATTTAGATGAGTGGTACAAAAACTAAATCACAAAATTATTTTACAAACAAACAAAGGTTCAAAATGTCGATGTCCATAAAAACATCGAGGTCTGAAAATATGTATCAATATTCATGGGTTCCATCTCAAAACCAATTGACAATGAGAGGAGTAGCCCATGTCTATTAAGGTCCCTTCTTTTATCAATGTGAGATCCTTAACAATGTCGATGTCGATAGAAATGTTGGAACAAGATAACGAAGATGGATGAAAATAATCTTAATTAATAAATTGAAGCTCAATGTTGTTGTTTTATTGATAATTGATAATTTATAATCAAATCTAGTGTTTAGTTACGCAATTGAATAAAATATAAAATATTGGTATATATACAAACACATGTACAAATATTATAGGTTTGAAAATTATGTAATTAAATTGAAAAAAATTGAAAAAAAAAATCAACCAAAATAAAAATGGTCCAATATTAAAAATTGAAATAAAAGTATAAGTTTAAATAATAATAATAATAATAAAAAGAATTGAAAAAAAAAAGCAGGTATCATCCATCCCAACGATCCCACCTCAAAAAGGTGTCCCTATTTATCACTTGATTTTGAAAAATGGCGAAATAAATTTTGTTAATAAAAAATTGTACATTCCGATTTTTCCAACTATTTTACAAACTTGATTTTGACCGTCTTACCCTAGTTATTATTTTCAAAATCAAAATAATACCCTCCCTCACATTCTCAAATCTGTTTCTTGTTATATTATCTCTCTTTCCTATACTTTCTCTCATAGATTTTAGAAATCATCTATCTCAATTTTTAAATATATATTTGAATATAACATAGCATAGCTCAAAGAGAACAACACACAAAGTGAGACACGATCAACGGGTATCGCGAGGAGACAACAGGAATGGACGGGAATTGAGCAGGGAATGGGCGGAATTAAGCAAGGGAGACAACTGTGGAGGTGACATAGCTGTAAGTGGGGCGGGAAGTGGATGAAATTGAGCAAGGGAGCAAGAGATATAACAGTGGAACAACAAGGCGGTTGACAATGCTGTAAGTTGAGTGGGGTAACCGTATGAGTTTCTAATGAGGTAGATTTTTTTTTTTGTGTTAATTGTGTCACCAACATAAACATTATGTGTTCACGTTATAGACATTTGTTCATTTGTTCATTTGTTCACCGTATTTGTTCATCATGCTTTTTACTGTATTTGTTCATTTGCTCACCATATTTGTTCATTTGTTCACCGTATTTATTCATTTGTTCATCGTATTTGCTCATGTTACTGTATTTGCTCGTATTTGTTCATCATGTTTGTTACTGTATTTGTTTCCATCTTCGGTATTAGTATTTTCATTTCTAAAATGACTTTCTTGTTTAAATTTTGGTATTTCTATTTCTAAAATGATTTTTTTGTTTAAATTTTGTTTTAGATTTTAATTTAATTAATATTTTTCTTTTTAGGTTTGTTAGTAAAATTCTCTTTGAAAAATATTTGAATTCAAAAATACAGGTAAGATTCTCAAAATATTTGAATGATTCATTAAGATTCGATGTCGAGTCCTTCAACACGGCGACATGTCGGTCGACATGTCGCGATGTCTAATGAACGATATTTAGAACATTGAAACAAACTGATAAATCATATTATATTTTTTTTTTAAAAAAAAGACACCTTTCAATCAAGCCTCCACATTGCCGTTGGAAAATTAGGCACCCAAGAATTTATCCTTCCACAGTTATCCAAATAAATAATGTCAATCACACAATAATATATGAGAAGTTAATGAAAGTAGAAAGCAACACAAACAAATTTATACTGATTCACCCAAAAGCTACATCCAGTCTTCCGCTCAAATGTGGGTTTCACTAAATGCGAATTTGATACAAGTGCTTTAGTATCACATATATTCACTCTCTAGAGGTCCCAACAAAAGCTGATAAGCACCAAGGTTGCTCGTGTTTACAAAGCTAGAGGTCCTTCTAGGATCCTTGCAAACATTCACAAAAACGACTAACTTACCGAGTGATTCCAACCAAGAGTAAGGTTAGAAGATGAATCACTCTTAGATCGGACTTAGAATCTACGATRGWCACTCCTAGATCCTAAGACGACTCACTCCAGAWTTAGCTTGATCGAGACTAATCCAATGAATCGGTTTAACATCAAACCTAAAGCAAGATTTGAAAGAAGCAACACCAAAAGTGTTAAGGAACAAAAGTTCTTGAATTTCAATATGTTTTAATCTTAAGTTMTCCATAACAAGAGCATTACAAGCCTTTAAATAGGCCAAATGGTCGTTCAACATAAGAACACCAAAAGTTTTTCAAAATACTACTTAATGCAAATTGTAGAAAATAAGACATGCAAATTAAAACTTGATTGCACATCATTCTAGACACTTAAATGCGGATCAGAAAACGTAGTCATGCTTCAAATGGTCTTATCTATG